ACGGGGAACGTTCAACCTTGAACGATCGGCCGTTTCCGAAACGTGAGGTCGTTCAACATCGACCGATTCTGGGTCGCTGGCGGCGTTCAACGTTGAACGCTGGCGGCGGGGTCGCCGCTGGTCGACACGACGCGAACCTGCCGTATACAATGTTGTGCCTCTGTAAGCCTGTTTCAGGCCTGAGCGGCCGTCAGAAAACTAGCCAGGACGAAAAACTGGTCCTGGGGAAGGGGTCGAGAGCTCTGGGCTAGGACCTATGAGGAGAGAGGAGCATCGCTACCAGCACCACCATCGCAAGGAGCAGGAAGTCATTCGCGGCGGTGAATCGCTACTGTTGTTTGTCGGAATCCAGCTCGAGACATCTCCAGCCTCCAGCTGGCTAGGCAGGACCAGTCGGCGCCGAATCGAGAAATCGGCTCGAGTCGGGCTGCACGGGGCACAGAGCCGACATCGAATCAGACCGGCTGCACAAGGATGCACAACAGCGCCGAGCAAGCACTCCGCCGCATCGGATCGTCGGAGCATCGGAATCGGATCGGACGGATAGAAACCCCGCTCGCGGAGGCATCTCGGACCTCCTCGCCAGGGGTGGCCCAGCTGGGAACCTTCGATGCGGGATTCCAGGGGCTCTCGAGCGCTTCCCTGGAAACCAGTTGCTCATCCTGGACAGTCTCTTGACGCCCCCAGAGCGCTGAAACGGCCCCTGGAGGCCGGAAAACTGCAAAAACAAAACAAGCAACAAGCGAAAGAAAGTAACACGCCGCCTTGATCTCCTTCCATCGATGGGGGCCCACGTCACGCGGCAAAAACTCGCGACACCGGACGCCCTGGGCCTTCCCAGAAATCCCGGGGACACCCTGGAGGCCCCAGGGAGGCCCCAGCGAAGGGCCCAAAGCGCCCAGAGACCTCGCCTAGAGAAGAACTCGCGGGACTCCAGGCCACCGCAGACCGCCAGGCCGCCAGACGATGGCAAGAGTTCGAGGAGGAGGAGGAGGAGGAGGAGGAGGAGGAGGAGGAGGAAGAGGAGGAGGAGCAGGAGGCGGGGGGAGGGAGCCCCCAGAGAGGTCTCGACCCTCTCTCTGGGACGTTTGTGCTCACCCCGGGCCGCTACTGTTCAGACAGGCCCCAGGGCCCGGCAGGGGGCTCCAGGGGCCGAGAATTGGCAAGCACCCGCTGCCGTAGACCTCCTCACGACGCAACGGGGTCTGCGCAGGGAGGGAGGATGGCGCGAGGAGCAAAGGAGGAGGAGGAGGAGGAGGAGAAGGAGGAGGAGGAGTAGGAGTAGTAGGAGGAGGAGGAGGAGGAGGAGGAGGAGGAGGAGGAAGCGGAGGCGGAGGAGGAGGAGGAGGAGGAGGAGGAGGAGGAGGGGGAGGGGGAGGAGGGGGAGAAGGAGGAGGAGGAGGAGGCGGAGGAGGAGGAGGGGAGGGCAGGGATGGATGGAGTGGAGGGGAGGGGATTGCACGCCACCGAGGGGGACAGAGAGAGAGAGAGTCCAAAAACTGTTGGGGGCCCATCGGAGCGGACCTTGTCACCACCGTGCGGCTCGGAGCGGCAGGACCCCCCCAAGCAAACACATCATCCTCGCATGCACTTCTCGTCGGGCTCACGAACTCGGCACCGCTTGCCGAGCTCTCGAGCTTCGGCTTCGCCGAGCCCAAAAACCCGGAGGCAATCTGAGAGGCAGAGGCTGCTCGAGCCCCCGCAAGAGAGGGCTCTCCCGACGCCCTGGGTTTTCCTGGCAGGGCCTCCCGCCCTGCCTCAGGGAACCTTGGACCAAGCAGCTCGACCGCCAGGCCTCGGAGAGGGGATGGGGAGGGGAGGAGAGGAGGGGAGGAGGAGGGGAGGGGAGGAGGAGGGGAGGGGAGGAGAGGAGGGGAGGAGAGGAGGGGAGGGGAGGGGAGGAGGGGAGGAGGGGAGGAGGACCAGTGCAAACCCAAGACGCATCAACGATGTTGCAATAAACCCTCCCTCCGAATTCCCTCTTCACGGGTCCCTATAATAATCATGTTCATTGCGGAAATGCCCCGTTGAAAAACAGCCGTTTGAGAAACCTCTGCCGTGCCAAGACGTTTCCTGAGACTTCAATGTCAACGCTGCGAATCAACGTAAATGTTGCGTCCTGACGATCCTAAACCGTGCCCGACAAACGGTTCTGTGAACTTACGAATCCGCGAAACGAATCCAAACTGTTATGACGAACGCGCGGCGCTAAGGCGAGAACTACATGTTGCAAACCGCCCGCCCTCCATGTTTGAAACTGCGGCAAAAGTTTTCAAACGAATGTGCGCGGCGCTAACGCGAGAGACACATGAAAAACCGCCCGCCCTCCATGTTTGAATCTGTGGTGAGGAAATCTCAGGCGAAGCGCCCGGCCCGCCCTACCGACACGTCTGGAAATGCGACAGAGGGTAACTAATCATATGAGGAAAAATATGGAAGAGGGAGGAGGAGGAGGAGGAGGAGGAGGAGGAGAAGGAGGAGGAGGAGGACGAGAAGGAGGAGCAGGAGGAGGAGGAGGAGGAGGGGGAGGAGGGGGAGAAGGAGGAGGAGGAGGAGGAGGGAGGGGAAGGAGGAGGCGGAGGCGGAGGCGGAGGCGGAGGAGGAGGAGGAGGATGAGAATGAGGATGAGGATGAGGATGATGAGGATGATGAGGATGATGGGGATAATGAGGATGATGGGGATGAGGATGATGAGGATGATGAGGATGATGAGGATGATGAGGATGATGAGGATGATGAGGATGATGACGATGATGATGGTGATGATGATGATCCTGATGATGATGATGATGCTGATGATGGTGATGATGATAATGATGATGCTGATGATGATTATGATGAGTATGATGATGATGATGACGATGATGATGATGATGATGAGGATGATGAGGAAGATGAGGAAGATGAGGATGATGATGATGATGATGATGATGATGATGATGATGATGATGATGATGATGATGATGATGATGAGTATGATGATGATGATGATGACGATGATGATGATGATGATGATGATGATGATGAGGAGGAGGAGGAGGAGGAGGAAGATGAGGAAGATGAGGAAGATGAGGATGATGATGATGAGGAGGAGGACGACGATGAGGAGGAGGAGGAGGAAGAGGAGGCGGAGGCGGAGGCGGAGGCGGAGGCGGAGGCCGAGGCGGAGGAGGAGGAGGAGGAGGAGGAGGAGGAGGAGGAGGACTCCCCGCCGCCTCCAGCGGTTGCACATCCAGGCGCAGCAGCTCGTCCATGGCGCCCTGTACCGCCTCGTCCAGGCGCTGTGCAAGCGCCAGCTGGCGGGAGCTGTTCTCCTCCAGCGTGCGCGAGACCCGGGCGAGCTCCTCTCCACAGAAGGCAGCAAAGCACCACCGCCATCCCCTGAATTCTTGGCGTCGCAATTCTTTCACGTCGGGCGCTTCCGCCGGGTTTCGAGCCCCAGGATTACTACAGATCGATCCGGCTAGAAAACTGCAGCTGAAAAATGAGGTCTGGGGCTCTGGTCGCGATTTGTTGTGCGATGTTGAACTTTTTCGCAACGCCGGATCTCAGGGCAGGGCTACCCCGGGTAGTGGTTTGGTGATGGCTGGTGTAGGCCAGCCCCTGGCGTCGTGAGAAAATCGAGTAGGAAAGTTTCCATTCTCGGCCTCCCGAGGCCCCGCCCCACGGGACAGTCAAAAGAGGCTTCACAAGAAGGTTCCAGCAAGGAAGATTCACAGATTTTCCTAAAGTCTTTGTCGGATTGTCGAGTTCTCGCCTTCTCGGCTCCCTTACGCTCAAGGACGGCACAAGAGGCCCCCAAGATCGCCCCAAGGCGGCCCCAGAGGCCCCCAAGAGGGCCCCAAGACAGCCCCAGAGGGCCCAAGACGGCCCAAGAGACGCCCAAGACGGCCCAAAGATGGCTCCAGGAGGGGTCCCTGAGGGGGAGCCCGAGCGGACATTTCGAACCCTCGGCCGACAGGCCCCCCCAGGCGCCCCCAAGCTCCCAAGAGGCCCCCAATGTGTCGCAAGAGGTCCCCAAGAGGCCCCAAGGGGCCCCCGAGGCCCCCAAGAGGCTCCCAAGAGGCCCCAAAACTGCACCCAAGAGGCCCGCGAAGGTTTTCCGAAGAGACCACAAGAAGCATCTATGAGAACTCTGTGACACGCAACCCTGGCACGGTGGCGGCATGTGCCGAAGGCCACTAGATCCGCCGCCCCCTTCTGCTTCAGCAAAGGGGTGCCCGGTGTGCCGAATCCCATCGCTTTTGGTTTTGGTTCTTTTTCCAAAAAGAACTCTCCCAGTGGGTTTCGGCCCGTCCCGCCGGGGTCCCGGGATTTTTTCCACGGCCCCAATTTTCTGCCCAGGACGGCTCCAAGATGGCCTCCAAGATGGCGAAGATGGCCCAAGATGGCCTCCAAGATGGTCCAAGATGGCCTCCAAGTCCGCCCAAGATGGTCCAAGGCGGCCTCCAAGACGGCCCAAGAGTCCAAGAGGGCCCCAGACGGGCCAAGAGGCCCCCCAGAGGCCTCCCAGACGGCCTAAGAGGCCTCCAAGAGGTCCTCCAGGAGGGCCCGAAGAGGCCAAAATCCTTGATTTTCCGTAGGTGTTTGAAGGATTTGGGAAATTGCTTCTTCTTGGCATTCCGACGGCTCAAGACGGCCCAAGAGGCCCCCAAGATCGCCCAAGATGCCCCCAAGAGGGCCCCATGACGGCCCAAGTGGCCTCCAAGATGGCCCCAAGAGTGCAAATCTTAGTAGGCAAGCCTGAGCAGGTTATCCATATTACATGCAGGCGTGATAATATGTTGCATATACTTTTCTCCGTTTGCCATTCTGTCAAGCGAGCGCCCCCTCGCTTGTGCTCGCAGGCACATGTTTTGATGGTGGCTCTGTGAGCAGAGCCCGGTCGGACGGTCGACCGTGTGGGAGAAAAAGGAGTTTGAGACGCTGTGCGTGTTCCGCCAACGACTTGCATGGTAGCAGGAGCTCGTGGTTGACACGAAGATCCACGGAGAACCGCGATGAAGGAGGAACATCGCGGCGACAAGGTGCCAGGCTGGGATGGAGACCCAAAGACCTGGCGGACGTATCGACGGAAGGCCCTCCAGTACCAGGAGGGCACGAAGAGACAAAACAGGTACTTGTGTGGCCCGAGGCTAGAGGCGAGACTGACGGGCAGGGCTGAGGTTGCAGCTGAGCGCTGTAAGTCAGGATGGCTCTCGATAGATGACGGTGTGGAGCGACTCTTGGCGTGGCTGGAGCGCCGCTGCTCGCGCCAGGCGGTCCCAGACGTGGGTCAGGAGCTGGAGACGTTCCTGATCAAGCCCAGGCGCAGGAAACTCGAGCCCATGCAGCAGTGGACCGACAGATTCGAGACTGGGTACCAGTACCTGCGACGAGCACTGGCACGTGCACTCGGCCACCTGACTCAGAGTCCTCACTCGACGTCGAGCTGGACCCCCAGACCCTGGAGATGGGTTGAAGTCGAGAAGGAAGAAGACGACGAGGGCCCGAGCTGGACGTGGGAGTACACCGACGGCCGAGGAGAAGACGATACAGGGTCGCGCACCTGGAGCATCACCAACGACGATGACGCCGAGGAGGAGTTAGATGACATGCCAGAGGTCTTCCCGAGCATCGTCTGGGGATGGCTGATGCTCGCGCGCGCGGGCCTGGACTCCAAGGAGAGATCTGCCATCATGACTGCCACAGGTGGCTCGCTGGAGGCAAGCACGATCCGCGAAAAGCTGATCACGACCTGGGAGGACGATGACCTGGCAGAGCGAGATGGCCACGCTCGATACCCGAAGGCGTACACGGCGCAGATAGGAGACGATGACCGCACCTGGCTCGACGAGGACCACGTGGAGCAGGGTGCGGGCAGCTTCGCAGCAGAGCAGGAGTGCGAGGAGTTCGATGAGGAACATGACATGGCCGAGGCTAATGACGAGGAGATCGAGGCGTACATGGCCGCCCAGCAGGAGGAGGCCGAGGCATTGGCTGCACTCCACACTGCCAAGCGAACCCTACGCCAGGCTGGCGAAGCGCAGGCCGACAGCCGGCTGAGCCGCGGCTTCTACCGCGGGGGCCGGCCAGGTGGTCAAGCAAACGGTGGTGGCCGAGGAGCTGGCGGAGAATTCCCAGCGGGATCTCGCCGGCCGATGGGCAGCCAATACGGAGGCCGAGGGACGATCCAACCCCCGAACAAAGGGCAGAAGAAGTGTCCGAGGTGTGGAGGTGGTCATTGGTTACAGGATTGTCCTGACCGACATGATCCTCGCCTCGGCCCCAAAGTGACCAACGCGCCCGAGGCGAGCGCGAAGATGGCCACCCGCACGAAGGAGCTGAAGTTTAATCTAGTGGCCGCCAGGGTCGCCGAACAAGAGTCTGGGGACTCACCAAGTGAGGCGATGTTCGCGGAACAGGCCATCTTGGAGGGCAAGGGGATCGTCGACTTAGGCTGCACGGACACCATGGGAGGTGAGCGTGCGCTCGACATCGTAGCCCGCAAGAACCTCGAGAAGTACGGCGACACCAGACTCCGTGAAGTGAACCGAAGCTACCAGCCGGTGTACAGCTTCGGGAACGGAGAGAAGGAGCGCGCCTACGGACAGGTGAAGTTCGGGATCACGGGCGCGGGCAACGAGGGGGACATCGCGATCAACGGGTTCGCGAAGGACGTCCCGATCCTCGTGTCGAAGAAGGTGCTCAAGAAGCTGGGGGCAGTCATTGATTGCGACACGGGTGTCGCAGTGTTCGTGAAGCTGGCCCCGAATATCCCCGTGCAGCTGGAGGAGTCACCCGACGGCGGACACTACTGCATGAGCCTGGTGGACGACATCCTAGAGCACCGAGTGCAGGACCCTGCCAGGTTGCAGAACTTCAGGAGGATTAGCCAGCATGTCTCTGAGTGGGGCAGGCCGGATACGGCCGCAGCAGTGGGGCAGGTGCAGTTCGGAGGCGACATGTCCGAGAAATATGGAGAAGATTCGCACCGACCTCCCTCCCCTCGCGTCGCCAGCATCACCGTTGGGTCGAGCGAGGGAGTCCGAGCAGTTCGAGATCCAGGGAGAGCCCAAGCAGAGACGGAGGGGGACCAGCAGGGCATCCGTAGCCGTTCTGGCTCGAGCCCGGCGAGATCTCCAGCATCTGGATTGATCGACTTGGTGCAACCTGCACCCCCAGAACCTACATATACTCGACCGCTGCCAGCGGATGGCAGCCAGATGTTCAACAGCAGCTTCGTCAGAGGAGCGCTCCAGCTGGCCTGCGTCGGTGCCGCATGCAGGTGCCAGCCCGAGATGGGGAGTGCCAGCTTCCCGCAGAGAGGTGCACCATCTCCACAAGGCAGAGGCGGTGGAGCTGATCAGGGAGCTGGGTTTGCCTTTCAGCCCGGCCTGGTCGGTGGACGAGCTGAGGCACACCATCAAGGAGACCCTCTTCCCGAAGGCCGAGAGCGCCTCTCAGAATGCACTGAAGGGGGTCAGCACCATGAAGAAGCCGGAGCTGGTCCAGAAGGCGGAGGAGATCGGAGCCCACCTCACGCCAAATATGACGAATGCAGCGATGAAGACGAAGCCCGAGGCGACGGACATCATGGGTTTCGGGAAGCACAGAACCCTGACGTACCGGCAGGTCTGGATCCAGTGCCCGTCCTATGCCGAGTGGGCCAAGAAGGAGACCAGCACAGAGAGCAGCTGGGAGCTCACCCGGTTTGTCTCATGGCTCAACGAGACAACGAGACGAAGGTAGTACAAGAGATGACCAAGGTCCCGGGGGAAGCTCCAGCGGAGCCTGCCAGGGCGCGAGGGGGCGCGAGGTCATCTCGACGGCGCACGATGGACGTGATGATGGAAGACGAGCTCGACGAGGAGACGGTGCGGTCGGCTCACCAGGAGGAGATGACAGCCAACCGCCCTGTCCAGAAGGAGATGCTGGCGGCTCTGGGTCAGCTCAACCAGAGGCTGGAGCGCCTCGAGGCACCGAGGGCTCCGAGTTCCGCGGACAGTTTTCTCGCAGTGGAGCACAGTCCGAGTGGTCCGGCCGGGGTTTGAACCATGTCAAGGAGCTCGACCCGAGGAAGCAGCGATGGCTCGCGAAGTGTATCAGGGAGAGCAACAGCACCGAGGACTTCGAGGCGCTGATGGCACATGGGGGGGTCAAGCTCATGGAGCTGGCCTGTAGTCCCGCATCCATCCTGAGCTCAAAGATGGCCGAAAAGTTTGGCGAGGAAGCAGTGCAGCGGGTCAGCTCATGGAACGGCCACAAGCTCGGGACAGCCCCGGGCAACCAGAAGGCGCGGGAGACCCGGGACAAGGCCGAGCCCGACCACCTCTGGATCAGCACTCGGTGTGGTCCCCTGTCCACGCTGACTCTCGGTTTCAACTTCTCCAACCCGGCCAGGGCAGAGGCGACCAGGAAACGTCGGCTCCAAGCGATCAAAGAGTACAAGGGCGCGGTGCAGTTAGTGTACGACCAGGTGGCCCAGGGCAAGCACGCCCACTGGGAGTGGCCCATCAAGTGTGAAGGGTGGGGCCATGCCATGATTCGCAAGATGATCGATGACTGCTCAATGACCGTGGTAAAGGTGGCTGGGTGCCAGCTCGGGGTCAAGAATGAGAAGGGCGAGCCGCTCTTGAAGGAGTGGCTCATCGCAACGACCTCACCGAAGATGGCGGCTCGGATGGCCACAGAATGCCCCGGAGATCATCGGCATGGTGAGCTCATGGGCGGGAGCCCCACGGCCTCGACAAGCTACCACACGGACGAGTTCGCCCGGAGGGCCGTGCGGGCCATGATCGAGGAAGCCGCCCCGGACTATCACGAGCTCCCGAGGAGCATGTCCCAGGAGAATGAGACCGACAGGCACGCCCTGGCGGGACAACAGGAGTCGACCTCACCCGCTGCGGACCCTGGCTCCAAGGAGTACCAGAAGATCACTGCAATGGCTCCCATCTGCGCACCGAGGGTCCGGTCACAGCTCCAAGGCGTCCATGCTGAATGCGCTGAAGAGGAAGGGGGTGAGCCCCATGGTGATGAGAGTGGCCCAGGACTTCCACTGCGAAGCGTGCGAGGAGGCGAACAACCACCGCCCGACGCATCCGCCCGTCAGTCTCGAGGCCATACCCCCGAAGTGGAAGCAGATCCAGGCGGACCAGTTCGAGTGGGAGCACCCCCAGACGAAGCTCAAGGCCAAGTTTTCGCTGATCATTGACGAGAACTGCAAGGCCCGGGTCACTAAGATATTGTACCACATGGTGGGCCAGGACCGTCACAGGAATCCCGTCTGGGCAGATCTCAAGAGCTTTTACGAAGAAAGATGGCTGCCGTACTTCGGGAAGCCGCAGCGCGTGAAGGTGGATCCCGAGGGCTCATGGATGTCCAAGCAGGCCGCCCAGTATTTTGATTCGGACTCCATCGGGTACGAGCCGATCCCCGGCCAGGCTCACTGGCACATCTCCCTCGCTGAAGAGGCGATCCAGGCAACCAAGGGGACTATGGACAAGCTCGTGACCGAGAACCCGGATATGTCCACCGAAGAGGCCCTGGCCCGCGGCACAGCAGCCGGGAACTCTCGAGAGGATGTACGAGGTCATTCCCCCTTGCAGCACGCACTGGGAAGGGCCCCTGACCTGGACGGCCATTTCTTCGAGAGCGACTTCGACGAGCTGCCGTACGTTGAGGCCCAGCGGGTTGACAAGGAGTACGGCGAGAACTACATGAGGATGTACGCGGCCGAGCAGGAGTACCTGAGGCAGGTGTACCTGCGTCGCCTGAGCCGGGCCGAGAAAGCCAAGAACCAGTTGCTCAAGGCCGTGGCGCCCGGCATGTGGGTGCGCTATTTCCACAAGGAGAAGGGCGAGGTCAAGGGCCGATTCAAAGGGCTTGCACGGGTGCTCGCAGCGGAGACGACCCGACCCGTAGACGGTGACCTCGTGGCAAACCAGACATTGCATCCAGGTCGTGCAGGACCTGTGGTCTGGTTGGTCCGGGCAGGGCGCATCATCAAGGTTGATTTGTGCCAGGTCGGGGCTGCTTCCGCGCGGGAGATCGCCTATGCCGAGCTCATGGCGGGCAAGGACACACCCTGGACCGTGAACCCATTCATGAATCAAGCGATGCGGCAGGAGTACCTGGACTTCTCGGGGCACGACCCCACAGAGCAAGACGAGGAACTCGCATCCTGGGAGGGGGTGCCTGAGCCAGCACCTCCTGCAAAAAGAACACGCCACGAGGAGCCGCCGAAGGAGACCAAGTCCGAGCGCAACCATAACCCTGTGCTCAAGGCTATTCGGAAGAAGGACCCACCGCCAGGGGGAGTGGCCAGCATCGTGAAGGCAGCCCGGGCTGCACAGGCGGAGGATCTCATGATGGAAAGGGCTGCCCTCATGGCCAAGGCATCTCCAGACGCCTGGTCTTTTCGGGCACGGCAGGGGACATTCCTGGAGATCTCGGTCGAGTTGCCACTGGCGGGAAAGCCCCTGAAGCAGGCCACGAGGCCCTTGAGCACATACATGGCGGGCCAGCTAAAAAGGGGGAAGCGAGAGATCTCAGAGCGGGCCCTCACCCCAGAGGAGGTGAAGAAGTTCAGCGTCGCCAAGGCCACCGAGGTGAACAACTATGTGATATCCTCCGTGCTGGAATCCCTGCCACCAGGAGTTACCCCGCAACCAGAGGATGTGATGCGCACGCGGTGGATCCTGGAGTGGAAGATGGATGAAGCGACAAGTGAGAAGAAGCCCAAGGCCCGGATCGTGGTCCTAGATTACATGGACCCTGAGCACGAGCACCGGCCAACGACCGCTCCAACAATGACCAGGACCTCCAGTAAGGTTCCAGTGTTTGGTTTCGGTTGAGGTGCACATTGTTCGATAATTCGAATAATGCCTGCACCAGACCCAGACCAGGACTGGTCTCAGTAACGATACACATTATTCAATGAATGTTATAATGAGACTCGACCCATACCTGCACCAGTCTTGGTCATGGTTTGGGGAAAATAATAATATTATTATTATTATTATTATGATTATTATTACTATTATTATAAGATTGCGTTCGAACCACAACTGTGACTGTGACCAGTCATGGTTCTGATCCAGGTGGAGTCGCATTATTCGAATGCATTCAGAATAATGCGGCCAAACCAGAACCGTGACCAGGACCAGTCCTGGTCACAATGGTGGTCCGGGTTGCATTACTATTAGTATGATATTATTAATGCCAATCGACCCGAATGAGAACTGTGACCAGGACCAGTCCTGGTCATCGTTGTGGTTGGGGTTGCATTCATATCATAATTAATGTATTAATGCGAATCGACCCGAAACAGAACCGTGACCAGGACCAGTCCTGGTCACAGTTGTGGCTGGGGCTGCATTAATATAATTATAATATTATTGGTGCCAATCGACCCGAACCAGAACCGTGACCAGTCCTGGCCACAGTTGAGGTTGGGGTTGCATTATTCTTATTATTATTATTAATGAATGCCCATCGGCCCGACCCAGAAGCGTGACCAGGACCAGTCCTGGTCATAGTTGTGGTTGGCGTTGCTATAATAATATTATTAACGCCCACCGACCCGAACCAGAACCGTGACCAGGACCAGTCCTGGTCACAGCTGTGGTTGGGGTTGCATTAATATTGTTACTAGAACCACGCGCGCGCTTCGCGCGCGCTTAGGTTCTAGCTTGGCACATCTTCATCGTCGCCGTCGTCGCCGCCGCCGCCATCACCAAAAACATCATCATCATCATCAGTGTCATGATCAGCGTCGTCATCATCATCATCATCATCACAATCATCATAATCGGCGTCGTTGTCATAATCATCATCATCATCATCAACATCATCATCATCATCATCATCATCATCATCATCATCATCATCATCATCATTATCGCCGTCGTCGGCATCATCAACACCACTGTCATCACCGTCGTATTCATCATCAACGTATTCGTCGTCACCATAATCATAATTATCATCATCATCATCATCATCATCATCATCATCATCATCATCATCATCATCATCATCATCATACGCATTGGTGTTGCCATCGTATCCGTCGTCGTCATCGACGTCATCGTCGACATTTCGTCCTCGTCGTCGTCGTCGTCGCCATCACCATCACCATTATCATCATCCGTTGATCCGACCCCCTGCTCGTCGTCGTCGTCGTCTTCCTCCACCTCTCCCCGGTTCTATATTTCCCCATTGTCCAAGACCTCCTACTCATCATCGTCCTCCTCCTCCTCGACGCCGCTTCCTCGAAGAAGATCCCTGCTCTTCCTCCTCCTCCTCCTCCTCATCATCATCATCATCATCATCCTCCTCCCCGCTCTCTTCCATCTCCCGCTCCTTCTCTTTTTCCACCTCCTTCTCGTCCTTCTTCACCTCTAGCCCTCCTCATCCTCCGCTCCCCTTCCCTCCTCGTCCTCAGCATCCCTCACCCACCGTTATCGCCATCATCCGTCCGGGGAAGGGGGGCGCGGATTGTTAACAGCCCCCGGTGCTGTTTGAATTTCGCCGAGACTCTGTAGGCAATCCTCCGCACCGACTCCGTGCATTTGACTTTCTTCCCGGCCGGCCGGAGCGGGGGAGGGGGCACGATTTGATAACACCCACCGGTGCAATTTCCCATTCCGCCGAGACTCTGATGAAGTAAACTCCCCCGCTTCCCCTCCCAGAAAGGGGGGACATGTTGTTAATCCCTGTCCCAGCCGCGTGCCCGATGACCACGAATCCAGCGCGCCATCTCTATGGCATTTAGCTCCCCCCCGGCGGCTCGGAAGGGGGGGGGGCACGATTTGTTAACACCCGCCGGTGCTGTTTTCCATTCCACGGAGACTCCGTCGGCGGTCCTCCGCACCGACTCTGTGACATTTAACTTCCACCTCGGCCAGCTGGCGGGGGGGGCGGGGGGCACGATTTGTTAGCACCCCCCGGGCCCCCCTGGTGCTAGTTTCCATTCCACTGAGACTCTGATCAAGTAAACACCCCCGCTTCCCCCCCCAAAGGGGCAATTTTGTTAATCCCTGTCCCGGCCGGGGACGATTTGTCAATACCCCCGGTGCTATTTTCCATTCCACCGACGTTCTGACCAAGTACACTTCCCTCCTTCACCTCCAGGGGGGGACCCCATTTTGTTAATCCCTGTCCCAGCCGCGTGGCACATGACCACGAATCCTAAGCACCGCTTCCGTGACATTGGTCTTCCCCCCCCTCCCGCTGGCCAGAGAAGGGGAGGGGCCTGAGGTCAAGTAACGTGGGGACTTCCACGCCGGGGTTTGTGGCGGGCCTTTTGGGTGTTTCATGACGGCCTTGAGGGTCCTAGGGCATCCCAAGCATCGCCCATATAGAAGCCCCAACAATCAAAACAGGACCCCGCACGGAGTTGTCCAGAGGCCACTACGTACTTGATTATCAGACTATTGGGGGGTCTCTCTTGTGGTCCGCGGGGCTCCCGCGAGAACCCTGAAGGCCCCAGAGTTGCGAAAATATGCCCGAGAGCATCATCAGGACACGGCGGGTGTGTTTCATGCAGCTTCTTCGAGGGCCGGGGAGGCTGCATGGACTGCGACGGGGGGCAACGTGCGAGTGCACGCGCGCGTATAGCTTTACACCGGCAAGGATTCGGCTTACCTACGTGCGGCCCCTATGTGCAAATGACGCGATGCACATGAATGGAGAAGGGTGTATTTTTCCAAAGCAGATCATCATCAGTACTGGGCTGAGGGGTACAAGCAGCGCCCTGAACGTTGCCATGGGCACGCTGCACTGTTCAGCTTCGTAACAGAACGTCAGGCCTAAAAACCACAACTAACTTACACCACACGTATGGCTTATGTTGTACGCCGCGTGCGAAGGACATTGTTCGACGCGATGCGCGAAATGCCCTCCACTATGGTGCGCACCCGCGCGCCTAACAGAGAGCAGACCCCTGGACGTTGGCGCAGCGGGCGCGCAGAAACGACTGCATCGAAGAGTAATGTACAACAGTGCGAGGCGAAAAGGAATGCACAACCCGCACGTGAGTGCGAGGCGACGCTCAACTGCCAACGACATCTTGATGCTCCGGAACTCCTATTAAGAAACACTGCCACTGTCTAGACACGGCTCGGGATGCTTCGAAGGCACAGATAACCAGCAGTTGCTCCACGTCCACCTTCTCTGCGCAGTGTGGAGAAGGAGGCAATGGATCGCACAGCAGGGCTGTCGCAGTGGCCGCTTCGAATCCGTGGACGTGCGCGCACGGTAACAAAGCAATCCAATGGCCTCCAGCAGAAAGCGTGCGAATGAGAAAAGCGGCAGTCGTAAACAGTCCTTCTGCAGTGGAATGCGGAGCGAAGGGATGGCCCAAGCGTTCTTGAATTTCCTCAGCCGTTAATGGAAATCTTGCAACGTCCTGGCGCGTGAAGTTACACGTTTGGGTGGCAATGTCGCAATTGTTTCCGCCTGGTTCGACAAGGTTCTCGGCGGCATCCCCAAGGTGAGCTGTGAGAGCTACATGTTCGAAGTCTTCTTTGGAAATGGTGGTACGCGCGAGCGATCCAACACTGTTCACTGGAACCATGCAATGGTTGCAGGCATGCAAGCCGCATGTTGCACCCATTTGGACTTCCTGCCAAACAGCAGCGCTGGAAGCGGCATTGAACCAAGGAGCTGCGGATTGGACAACCGGCAGGTGTTTGGGGGGAAGGCATGGTTGCATGACTTGGACTGTCCCAGTGCGTGCCTTTGGTGTCTGACGATGCGCCATACAAGTCTCGTCGACGCGTAGGCTGGTCAGGTCCGCAATCTTCGGCGTCGGCATGACAGGCTGCTGCGTCCAAAGAGAAGTCCGTGGCACCTGCGTCAGCATCGCCACGTTTTACCTTCGTGTTGGGGACGTCACACTTGCAGGCGTTTGAACGACATGGCGTTGTGTGGAGGAACCGACGCGGCCTGCGTCGTCGATTCCTGTCCGTGCCGTCTGGGGTTGCAAACGGGGCGGCTGCAGCCGTGGAAGATGATGCCAATGGCCGTGGTGGTGCAGCGGGTGGGGGGTCCATGCCGGGAGCAGGCACGCTGTAGTGTGCGCTGACCGAGTCTGACGAAACGCTGTGTATTCTCCTTCGACGTATGGGCCGGTCAAATAGGCGATCAGGGCGCGCGGCAGCAAAGGAGGAGGATATGTGTGCATGAGGAGACGTTGCATCGAACGTGCCTCGTGGTGTGGCAGGCTCTGCAAATGACTGAGCGCAGTGCTGGCTGTGCGCAGGTTGGCGTTCGATGCCAGGATGCGCGTTGGGAAAATCACAGAGGCAAGCGTGGGAACGACGTGGCATTGTTTGGAGGAGCCGGCGCAGCCTACGTCGTTGTTTTTGGTCAATGCCACCTGGAATTGCCGGCGGGGCAGCGGCGAACCCGGCGGAGGATGGCAATGGGCTGGATGGTTCAGCGGGGGGCATTTCCATGTCAGGAGCAGGGAGGCCTACTGGCGGGGCGGCAAGGACTTTCTGGACCGGCGAAGCCAATGGCTTGACAACATCGGAGGCTGTGGAGACGGCCCCACCTCTGCCACAGCCGAGCCACTCATCATAGCCAAGGTCATTGTGTTGGTATTGCCGTCGCGTCTCGTTCTCGGTCAACTGAAAAGAAGCAGCGTTGGGTATAATATCGCCCACGGCGCCTCCATCCGGGAGCATGGAATCAAGGACGTCATTAGCATCGTGAGGTTTTGGAGAAGGTGCTCGGTCAATCTTGTCGCAACGGGTCGGCGAGGCGCAAATGATGGTTGGTGAAGGACCTGTGCCAGCATGAGACAATAGGCTTGCATCGACAATCCGCCACCGTGCCCCCTGGCACG